TGAACAGCCAGCTTCTTTGGCAATTAATGTTTGTGGCTTACCCTCCTTGTGAAGGGTGTCAATGATTGTCTTATGGACAACTGTCAGATCAGCAGTCTTCCCCATGATTGTGTAGCCTAGTGAACCAAACTGAGAGACCATTTTGAAGGCTCAGGAAACCTTTGCAGGTGTTTTGAGTTGATTAGCCGATTGGCATGTCACCATATTGTAATTTGTTGAGATAGTGAATTGGTGGGTTTTTGTTAAATGTTAGTCAAAATCATCACAATTAAAAGAACCAAAGACTTAAACTACTTCAGTCTGTGTGTATTGAATTTATTTAATACACGAGTTTCACAATTTGAGCTGAATTACTGAAATAAATGAACTTTTCCACAACATTCTAATTTATTGAGATGCACCTGTATATATAATTGGTGCTCATGTATCATGGACATTTTTATCTGAGAGATCATTTTATTCTGTGAATATTTCAAAATGTATTTTGTTTTTTGCTTGAATACGTTGAAATAGAATAACATGTCTATTTCTCCACGCCGCCATGTACCAGAGCAAGGAGGCATGACAGCAGATATTTCCTTTTTATTGTGTCTTATCTCAGGTTGGAAACAAGGCCCTGAATTAAACCGTAGTATTGCTACAAGATGTCGAATTATCAGTGATTTCATGCTTTTTGGGCTCAAGATTTACCAAAATCAGTCAATTTCTTTGTGCAGATGAACAAAAAGAAAATATATTTCCTACTTGAAAGCTGTCTGCCTCAGCTTTTCAGCAGTTTTCAGCACTTGGGCTTTTTCACACAGCCTACTGTATGTGAGAAACGCTATAATGTGTTATATTGCCAAGCCTTGCACTATTGTCTGTCCACTAACCCCAAATGTGCCAAAGTGCTCATTTCCTTTTCTGGTTGACTGGGTGGGTCAAGAGTAAATACCTCACAGAAAAGTCAGTGAAAGTCAGGCACTGGCACGTCCGACAGCCTGTCAACAAGTGGTCCAATACGGCAGCCCTTAATATACAGAATACCATCAAAAGTGACTTGAAGCTGCAAGAGAAAGCAGCAAAATATTTATACAAATCACCCCGGTGCTCATTGTGAGATGTATGAAAAAGGCAATCAGCTTTGTCCTGAACCTCTCGGCACACAACAGGGCTCTAATTGCTGACCCGTCCTTCACACGAGCCTGCGCGCTTCACCCCCTGTTGAGATCACCTCTAATAACACGTTCTATACAGTGCTGATGCGCTCAAACTTACCTGCTCGACACCCAGTCTGCAGCGTTTTGTCCTTGAAATATGAAGAGCGTTGCAATTCCCATGTTGCTGTCAGCTCTCCTCGAAACAGCTGATCTGGATGGAGGTAATGAAGGGATGCCACCGATTTGTGATGGCGTTAACGTTTCCCCGCGACCAGCAGAACATAATCTCTGTCTCGTCGCTTCCCATTAGTGCCTGTGATCTGCACAAACCAATATGCAAAGAAAGCAATGGAGCAGTGGAGTAATTTGGTGTGTCACTCAGCACCGAATGAAAGTATAATGGCTAAATGGTTAGATATGATTTCTATAATTGGAATGCCGTACTGTGTGGCACTAAGACCGGACCTGTTTTCTTTGCTGGTATTGTATGCATTCACAATGAAAGGGAGCTAATGAACAGAGAGCTTTTAAAAGCTCCGCGATTATATGGAAAGCAGAGGAGAAGGGAAGGATGGCGGGAGAATGAGAGAGTGAAGCCGAAGGGGGTGGAGAGAACACTAAGTATACATAATTGCTGCTTGACACATTGGCCAAATTCTGCTGTGCCAGGATTGCAGTGAAGATGATTAACGGCTGTCCGTGTGGGTGGGCAACTTGGTCACCCAGGGCTTCTAGTTTCCATAGCAATTGTACTCCAAAGGCCATACATTACATTGTGAGAGTCCCTGAGGCCTGAGCATTGTTAAATTCCCCAATAATATTTTACATTATGCGTTTGTCCTCTCAGCGGTAATTCATTCCAGCCACTGTGATTCACAATAGGTCAGTAGTGAAAGTGGAGAGAGTCCCAATTTCAGACCTCCTATCAGAATGTGAAGGATGGCACATCTCGAAGCTTAATGTTGATCAAGTGGC